CTAGCAGGTACTAGAGTGCCTGCCTCTCTTCATCACAGTAGTGGAGGTAATGCAGCTGGTGGGAGGTGGGGATATGGGAGCTTGCAGGGGAGCCTGATTGCAGATGTGTGCATAGTCACACTGGTGGTGGTATTGCCTTGGAGGCAGGGTGCTGGCAGATAACACAAGTCTGTGTGCTTTCTCTGTGCCCTGTAAGCAGGAGTGGTTGTTTAGGGCAGGTGAGGATTCACTGTTCTCTGTGCCTAGTTCCATTCCCTCAGCAGTGTTAGCAAAAGAGTGAGGCACTGGTGGATGCAGGGCTGGCTGGTTCTGTGCCTGCCAAGACTCCATCTGCAATGATGGTTGGTGGAGGGAGGAGTGGCAGACTGTACTCCTGACATAGCAGTGGCAGGGTGGAATGCACACATACTCGCCCACTGGTAGGTCAAGGAAAGCAAAACTTGCCTATGCAAACACATGCCAGCAAAGCAATGTGAGGAGCTGCACTGGATCCTGGGGAAGTTGCAATGTGGAGAGGGTGCATGCAGGCTGGTGCATAGGTATGGGGGCTGCCATGCTGGAGCTCCTTGAAGGTTAGGCATAGTGTGCCAGTAAGGAAGCTATGATGTGGCCAACCAGGGCACCCAAGGCTGCCCTGCAAGAAGGTGTGGGCAGGCTGGGGCCCTGAGAGAGGCCAGCAAGTCGAGGGGTGCTCAGATTGGACTGGTCCTATCTATGAGCAAGACCACCCTGCAGAGTTCACCCTGATAACTCACAGTTCTCTAATGGCTTAAGTCTTCTATGGGAACAAGTAGAGCCCTAAGGTGATGGCTATCCCTGGCCATGCTCTGCTACAGATGCTCCTGCACTAAACCCTTTGGGCCCCACATCAGCTGGTTTGCTCCCAACTTTAGTGTCTATGGTGGTTGAAGGGTATCCTGCTGGGGCTTGAGAGGCCCATGGTGAAAGTGGGTTGCTCCTTACCAATCCAACTCACCTGTTCCCCTGGAGCTGTTGGGGGCACAGGAACAAGTCCAGGTATACAGTAGCCCTATATAGGGGTTCCCGGCTTTCCCTCCCTCGGTCTAGCTTCTGTGTGTTCCCTCTGTTCACTTTCAGTACCTTCCCTCTGAATGTCTGTAAGGAGTACACCAGTCATCTTAGTCCCTTGGTGGTAGCTGTTCTATCTGGCTGCATTTAGTCAGCCATCTTGGCACCCCCCCACCCCCCAAAAAAACTTCTTATTAATGTGGGAAAAACTGAATGCTATTCATCTAAGATCTTTACAAGGCAAAGATGCCTACTCTTGCCATTTCTATTGAATATAGAAGGGGATGTAAGAACAAGAGCAATTAGTTAAGAAAAAAATAACAAGTACATATAAGCCTTTTAAAAAATATGTTTTTTGGCTACATAAATGTCTTCTTTTGAGAAGTGTCTGTTCATGCCCTTTGCCCACTTTTTAATGGGTTGGATTTCTTGTACACTTGATTAAGTTCCTTACAGACTCTGGATATTAGACATTTGTCAGATTGTAAAAATTTTCTCCCATTCTGTAGGTTGTCTGTTCACTCTGATCAAGTTTCTTTTGCTGTTTAGAAGCTCTTTTGTTTAATTAGATCCCATTTGTCAATTTTCATTCCTGTTGCAATTGTTTTTGATGTTTTCATCATGAAATCTTTGCCTGTGTCTACGTCCTGAATGGTATTGCTTAGATTTTCTTCTAGGGTTTTTATAATTTTGGGTTCTACATTTAAGTCTTTAACCCATCTTGACTTAATTTTTGTATAAGACTTAAGGAAGGGGCCTAGTTTCAATTTTTGGTATATGACTAGCCAGTTTTCCCAGTACTATTTATTAAATAGCAAATTATTTCCCCATTGTTTGTTTTTGTCAGGTTTGTCAAAGATCAGATGATTGTAGATATGTGGTCTTTGATCTGAATTCTCTATTCTGTTTCATTGGTCTCTTTGTCTGTTTTTGTATCAGTTCCATGCTGTTTTGGTTATTATAATCTTACAGTATGGTTTGAAGTTGGGTAGTGTGATGCCTCCAGCTTTGTTCTTTTTGTTTAGGATTGGTCTTAACTATAAAGGTTCTTTTTTGGTTCCATATGAACTTTAAAATTTCTAATTCTTTGAAGAATGACAGTAGTAGTTTGATGAGAATAGAATGGAACCTATAAATTACTTTGGGCAGCATGGCCATTTTCATATTGATTCTTCTTATCCATGAGCTCAGCATCACTGATCATTAGAGAAATGCAAGTCAAAACTACAATGAAATACCGTCTCATTCCAGTCAGAATGGCAATTATTGAAACGTCAAGAAAAACAGATGCTGGTAAGGGTGCAGAGAGATAGGAATGCTTTTCCATTGTTGGTGGGAAAGTAAGTTAGTTCAATCATTGTGGAAGATGGTGTGGTAATCTCTCAAAGACCTGGAACCAGAAATACCATTTAATGTAGCAATCCCATTACTGTGTATATACCCAAAAGAATATATATCATTCTTTTATAAAGATACATGCACGTGTATGTTCATTGCAGCACTATTCACAATAGCAAAGACACGGAATCAACCTAAATGCCCATCACTGATAGACTGGACAAATAAAATGTGCTACATATATAACACAGAACAGTACACAGCCATAAACAGGAATGAAATCATGTCCTTTGCAGGGACATGGATGGAGCTGAAAGCCATCATCCTCAGCAAACTAACACAGGAACAGAAAACCAAACTGCATGTTCTCACTCATAAGTGGGAAGTGAAAAATGGGAACACATGGACATAGGAAGGGGAACAACACACATTGGGACCTGTCGGGGTGAGGAGGGCAGGGGTGGGGGGAAGGAGAGCATCATGAAAAACAGCTAATGCATGATGGCCTTAATACTTAGGTGATAGGTTGATAGGTGTGGCAAACTACCAACTCACATATTTACCTGTGTAACAAACTACTGCATATCCTACACACATACGCCAGGACTTAAAAAACAAAACAAAACAAAAGGAAATAAAAAATAAGCCTAAGAAGAAAAGGAAAATTATTTCTATCTGCCGAAGACATAATCCTACATATAGAAAACCCAAAAAACTTCATAAAAATTGTTAGAATAAATAAACCTAGTAAAGTAGCAGGATACAGAATCATTATACAAAAATCAGTTGCTTTTCTTTACACCAATAATGATCTAACTGAAAAAGAAATCAGGAAAACACAATCCATCACAATAGCATCAAAAATAATAAAATAGAGAGTGGAACAAGGTAGCCAAACAGAACCCTCCAGTACTCAATCCCCTGCAGGGCCGTCAAGTTCAACAAATATCCTCACAAGCCCAGGCAGCACAGTGCGGAGAGAGAATCTACTTCCTTAGGATGCAAAAGGAATGTGAGTGTGGGATTTTGCATTGGAACCTAGTGCTGACCCCACTGCAGTGGAACACAGCACTGGGCAGAGCCTCCAAGGCCCTTGATTCTAGGCTGGAGGCCTCAGAGGGAGCATTTAGACCCACCCTGGGTCAGAGGGGAATCTGCTACCCCAGCAGGAGGAATCCAAGTTCCAGTCCACTTCACAACCAGCTGACTAAACTGGCCTTCAACCAGACTCTAAGACAAAGATTCACATTCAGGTAGATTACTGGGGAGGTAATTTAAGGAAGCACCAGTGCAGGAGTGGGACAGTGAGACCAGGGCAGTCTGAGAATCAATAAAGGGTACATTATTGACAAGTCACCTGTGAACAAAGAAAATGTGATTCCACTGGACAACACCAGGAGGCAGTGTTATACAAGCCTAAAAATAATTCCACCTGACCAGGTAGAGCACGAAGATATTTAATCTCTAACTCCCATCATCCTGGGCTGAATAGCGGTCCCAGGGAATTAGTTTTCAAGTATCTCTACCCTGCCAGAGGACATGCCAAGAGAAAGGCTTTCCATAGAGCCCCAAGTTTACATGGCAGGACATCAGAGGCATGGTCTAGACAGCAGGTGTCGAAGGCACGGCACAAGGCAACACTCACTTGTGGACAACTCACTCACATGCAATAATAATAAAAAAAAGGACCTCATAGAGGTTAAGAGTAGAATAGTGGCTACTAGAAACTGGGATAATGAGGGGAAGGGGAGATGGAGAGAGGTTGATCAAAAGTATAATGTTATGTAGCTACTCTGTTGCACAGTAAGGTGACTACAGCTAACAATAATGTATTATATATTTCAAAGAGCTAGGAGAGAGAATTCTGAATATTCTCAAAACAAAGAAATGATAAATGTTTGAAGTGATAGATGTGCTAATTACCATGATTTGATTATTACACAATGTATATATGTATCAGAACATCACATGGTACCCCATAAACATATACATTATGTATAAATAAACAAAAAATATATTGTGTAGAGAAAAACGCATAACAGCAGGAGTTATAGACCAGTATCATTAATGTAAATAAAAAACACCAGCATAGACAAAGCCATATGACATATGTCACTCTCATCCATGGAATTATTTCAGACACATTACCCAGTGCCTTTGGGTAGAGAGGCCAGTGGGAATGAGGATGATGGCTGAAGGGAAGAAATTTTTTTAAAAGAGGCCTAATGGGAATTGATGAAGAAAGTATGCCATAAACTTGGACTGTGATTAAAACCTTTCATCTTCCTCTTTTGCCTCCTCTAGGTTACCAGTTGCTTTTCCTGGACCTGTTCCAGGCTCTCACGTTCCACATCACACATGGGACATCTGGTGTCAGGCTCCCAGAGAGCAGGAACCAGCTGAAATACAAGGGCACAGTCCTCCCAGCTGGTGGCGTGGGGATCATTGAACAATACAACTCTTCACACTTTTTTAATGGAAAGATTTGAATAGGGGTTCACAGGAACAACCTGAGGCCCTGCAACTACATTTCCCAGAGTTCCCTGGGGTGATCCTAAAGTGACTCTGGGAGTGGGGCCACTTGGACAGCCAATGAGAGTACTTCCCCTGCACATTGTGGAAGTGAGAGGACTTCCTTATAGCCCTTGGATGTGGGAGGATTTCATTCAGTCTGGTTCCTGGTTGCCGGCTGAAAAAACCTGGTAAGTGGAACTCTCTGTAAGGGACTTGCAGCATACTTTGAAATTGAGGTTTGATCCTATCTGAAGTGTGAGTACAGGAAAGCTGATTCTACATGATGCCTGCATTTCAAGTATAAGTTTGTTCAGAAAGTCTAATTGGCACATACTTGGAGTCTAATGCTGTCACTACTCCACAGCGTAGTGGTGACAGTCACAGGTGCTTGATTCAAACTGTTAGGTTTACAGTCACAGCCACTTTATAGCTGTGAGAACCTGGACTAGTCACTTAGTTTCTCTAAAACTCAGTTTCTTTTTCAGTAAAATGGAGCTATGAATACTGCTTACTTAAAGGAGTTGTTGTGAGGATTAAATACATATAATAAAAGATAGCTAGTTAAGTTTAAGGCAACTTTCTCAACATGATTCTCCTCTTGGTTACTTGTAACAATGATGCTCACCCAGTGGCATGTTTCCTAAAGGACCCAGTTAGTCCTACAGGCAGCAAGTTCATAATAATTCCTGCTGCTGTTGCACTACCTGATAAAAAGTCTCTAATGATCCCAGATGTCCAGGAAGTTTAGATTCTGTTGTTTGCGTTGTCTATGGGAATTGCTGGAGGGAAGTTTTTCTTTTCTTCTTCCTTTTTTTTTTTTTTTTTTTGAGACAGAGCCTTGTTCTGTTCCCCAGGCTAGAGTACAGTGATACAATCTCAACTCACTGCAACCTCCTACTCCTGAGTTCAAATGATTCTCCTGCGTCAGCCTCCTGAGCAGCTGGGATTACAGGCACTGGCCACTGTGCCTGGCTAATTTTTGTATTTTTTTTTTTTTTTGTATTTTTAGTAGAGACGGGGTTTCACCATCCTGGCCAGGCTGGTCTCAAACTCCTGAGCTCAAGTGATCCAGCTTCCTCGGCCTCCCAAAATGCTGGGATTACAGGTGTGAGTCACTGCACCTGGGAGGAAGTTTTATCATGGTGGAAGCATGCTTAGGAGAGAGGATCTCCAAGAGGAATGAATGACAAAAAAATTAACTCCTTCACTGTCAGACTGAGAGCATCACCCCCTCAACATGGACTTGCAGAATTCTACAGAAGAGAGGAGACTGGCCTGGGCAAACAACCCTAGGAGCTGGGGGCCTGATGGGCTTTCTACCCGGGACGCTGCTCCATGCCCTAACTGATGCCCACAACAACCGTACACCTGCTCTTTTCTGATTAAAAAACAAAAGACAGGCACACTGTTTGCTCTTGAATGCTTGAAACACAAAACAGGTGATACCACCTTCCTCCTCAAAGGGAATTTTTAAACTGTCAACTCTCTATCTGCACACTGCCCAGAGACTTATTTTGTCTGGCCTTTGCTGTCTTCAGTAGTAGCGGCTTTTTTTCTTTAGATTTGCTTTTCTGGCCTGTTGCAAGTACCCCCAGCACCATCCTGGCCCCAGCAGGTATTAAGTGGGACCAGTGAGCGGTATGCAGGCCTTCTGGACAGTAACAACTGCTGAATGATGGTCTTTGGGTGTGGCTAGTCCAGCAACTCCTTTTCATCTAGAGACTCAAAGGGCTAGCTTAGGAGGGGCTAGGTTGTTATCATCAATTTAGTGGGGTACCATGCTCTTCCTTCATGGTGGCAGAGACAAAAGAAAAGAGAAGGAATGGGAAAAGAAAAACATGCAACACATACACACACACACACACACACACACACACACACACACACAGAGGGCGGGGGGAGAGAGAGAAGCCACTCATTAGCTCTCCTTATAATTCTTCTAATCATTAATGCCAGAAATCTGTGCAGCAGGTGTAGAAGATTTTATCTGTCTGTAATTGTACTTGTGCTGATTTTAGCCTTAAGGCATAACAGCCCTATCTCATAGGCAGGCTACCTCTGCGTGAATCTGCTTTATTTGTTTTATTTATTTAGAGTTGGGTTTCGCTCTTGTTACCCAGGCTGGAGTGCAGTGGTGTGATATCGGCTTACCAGAACCTCTGCCTCCTGGGTTCAAGCAATTCTCCTGTCTCAGCCTCCCGAGTAGCTGGGACTGCAGGCATGTGCCCAGGCCCAGTTAATTTTGTGTTTTTAATAGAGATGGAGTTTCTCCATGTTGGTCAGGCTGGTCTTGAACTCCCGACCTCAGGTGATCCGCCTGCCTTGGCCTCCCAAAGTGTGGGATTACAGGTGTGAGCCACTGCGCACGGCCTTATCTGCTTTTAATTCTTTTATGTTTGGCTCTTGTTTATAACTTCTTTTAGAGAAAGAATAAATGTTTCTTTAACCAAAAAGAAAAAGAAAACCACTGCTGTATATTTAACATATATTGATTCTAGAGACCTGGAATTGAACAATGAGTTCTGCCGCTCAACCTGGGCTCCAGGTGTACAACATCTAAGAATCTGATCTATTACTAAAGTGCCATGTCATGTAGGAATAAATCACAATAGCTGGTCAACTGTTGAAATTGATCATTCAACTAAACAACATCCGTGAACTCTGCAGAAAAACACAAGCATTTTGCCCAACATTCAGCGCCCTCTAGAAGTTGCCTCATTCTGTGCATCTTACCTTTCTTTTACATAGTTCTCCTAAAATGTCCACCAACGTGGCCTAAGTCAGGTTCCCCCAAACCAGATACCAACACAAGAATCCATGTGCAAGTGACTGAAGGAAGTGCTAGGAAAACCCCAGATGTAGCCTGGATGTGAATTTCAACTCCAAAGTGTGCCCAGACTCAAAGCAAGGACGCTAGGCTTTCCAGACCTCCTACTAAGTCATCGATCCAGGATTACCCTGGCAGGACATAAATACCTGGCACTTTTAGCTCCTGCAAAGGAGGGCAAAGCAGCTTCAGGAGCCCTTAGGAGTCCTCCAAAGAGAGTCTAGGTACAGGCCCTAAAATAGAAGAACACAGAAGGCAGGCCAGGGGCACTGTGAGATGGTAAAAGAGATCTGAAGGGATCCAGGTAAGTTACTGAAAGTTATTCATTCATTTTCATTCCCATGATAACTTCAGACCTGAGTCCTTGCCAGATCCACATTCCCTCTTAGGTACCCTGAGCAAGCCTATTTTATTTTATACCCTTCTGTACTTATGGTGGAAACCAATAGGGTTTTTTTTTTTTTTTTTTTTTTTTTGAGACAGAGTCTTACTCTATTGCTCAGGCTGGAGTACAGTGGCATGATCTTGGCTCACTGCAACCTCTGCCTCCTGGGTTCAAGTGATTTTCCTGCTTCAGCCTCCCAAGTAGCTGGGACTATAGGTGTGTGCCACCATGCCTGGCTATTTTTTTTTTTTTTTTTTGTATTTTGTATTAGAGACAGGGTTTCACTGTGTTGGCCAGGCTAGTCTCGAACTTCTGATCTCAAGTGATCCACCTACCATAGCCTTCCAAACTGCCGGGATTACAGGCATGAGCCACTGTGCCCAAACCCAATAGGTCTAAGGGGTCTCATTTGAGTCACGATATATATATATATATTTCAATGTTTTCTAATTACTTTAGACAGGGAATGTACTCTCTAATTCCCTTCAAGCACTACCCCTCCTTATTTTATTATAGCTAGATATGTTTTGGCTTTACATTTCAATAATTTAACCAGAATATGTTCTGTTAAAAATCTTTTAATTGAGGGGCCATCAGACTGAGTGACTCCTGTGGTTTCATTTTCATTTATTTTACTGTTTACCTGTAAAGAGTAGAAAACCAGAGACTTCATCAATCAACTGTCAACTAACCTCTAACTAGGGACATTTCACTCTAACCAACCCAGTATCTTTTCTTTGTCTCATTCCTGTGAACATTCTGTAAAAGCTTCTCTCTTGCCCTCCCCTTTCCTCAGCAGATCATTGAGCCACCTGTGGTCTGGTGCTGCCTGACTCATGAATTGCTGTCTGTTCTAATAAACTTTAACAACTGTTGTGCCTAAAACTTTGTCATTTAACAATTTCAGTGTTGACAGTACTGGAGTCTCCGAGAATCTGGTCTTTCTGGATCTTCAGACTGAATTTTTAACTTCATATTTCTACCTCCATATAAGCTAAAAGGGCTGATTCAATATTCTTAACTCATAACCTTTCTACTCTTTGTTCTGTATTGAAAGGAGCCAGTATTCACTAACACTCCTTTAGTGTGACTTTGTCACTTCTTCCTTTTCATATTCATCTACTTGTTCACTGGCCATGAAACAAACTATCAGGATAGCTCAGTTATTGCATTTCTTAAGCTCTTTTATGTTTGATATTACCTTGATATTTATGTTGCCTTTATGATCAAGTGAAATACTAACCAGAATATTTGGAGCTAACACTTTCCTTCAATACTTTGAAGATATACTTTTATTACTTCACTGAAGGATATTTCTGCATAACATTCTCTTGCTGGCCTGATATTTTCTCTTTTATGAAATATTTTCTTTCTCTGCAAGATGCTTGAGTAGTCTTTAATTTTGACTTTTAATAATTTAACAAGAATATATCTCACTGTGTCGCCAGGCTGGAGTGCAGTGGCACGATCTCGGCTCACCACAGTCTCCTCCTCCTGGGTTCAAGTGATTCTCCTGCCTCAGCCTCTGGAGTAGCTGGGATTACAGGCATATGCCACCACACCCAGCTAGGTTTTGTATTTTTAGTAGAAATGGCATTGCACCATGTTGGCCAGGTTGGTCTCGAACTTCTGACCTTGTGATCTGCCCACCTTAGCCTCTCAAAGTGCTGGGTTTACAGGTGTGTACCACCGCACCTGTCCTTTTGGTTAACTTTTAAGTTCAGGGGTACATGTATAGGTTTGTTATATAGGTAAACTTGTGTCATGGGGGTTTGTTGTATCACCCCAGGTATTAAGCCTAGTACCCATTAGTAATTTTTCCTGATCCTCTCCCTCCTCCCACCCTCTAGCCTGTGAAAGGCCCCAGTGTATGCCGTTTCCTTCTTTGTGTTAATTCTCATCATTTAGCTCCCACTTACAAGTGAGAAGATGCAGTATTTCATTTTCTGTTTCTATGTTAGTTTGCTAAGGGTAATAGCCTCCAGCTCCATCCATGTTTTCATGAAAGACATGATCTTGTTCTTTCAAGTGGCTGCACTGTATTCCATGGCATGTAAGTACCAGATTTTCTTCATCCAATCTGTCATTGATGGGCATTTAGGTTGATTCTGTGGCTTTGCTACTGTGAATAGTGCCATACATTTTTCTATTGCACTTTTTGAGTTCTCCACTGTAGAAGCACCAATTGTCTTTACATTGGATTATCCTTAACTGCTTTCTATTAGATTCTATCTTAATTGATTTATCATTTCATTAGCCTTTACTATGAATAGCAAGCTTTTCTTCCACATAAGCAATGTGATGTATCTATATAGTTCCTTTCTGTTGATCATTAATTATGTGTTCTGTTCATCATTAATTAGTTCCATTTCTGTCCTTAATTAGTAAAGTATGAAATATTTCTTTTCATAAAACTATTCTCACTTTATTTTTTAGCTGTTTATTATTGAGTTTATTTTACATGGTCTATAGCCCCAGATACCTGTAAAATATTTTTTTTTCATTCCGTTTATTTTTCTTCTTGAATTGGTTGTGGGTTTTTTTTGTTTCGTTTTTTTTTTTTTTGGGGGGGGGTAACATTTTCATGTTATGGTCTTTTCTTCTAATCTCAATCTCATAGTATTTTCATTTTGTTTTTTCATCATTTCATGTATGTATAGCTCTGTTTCCACCTTTTGTTGCTCGAATCTGGTGTGGATGGTGAGATGTCCAGCTGGGGTTGGCATAGACTTGTCAATCAAGGAAAATGACGAGACAAGTCGCAATCATTTTAGGAGATGTATTTGCCAAAGTTAAGGATGTGCGCCTGGGAGACAGGTCTATGCCTTTCTTCAAAGATTATTTTGAGGGCTCCAAATTTAAAAGGGAAAGGACGGAATGCTGAGAAGCACAGTATTCATGTAAGAGGGGAGTAGGGAAAAATAGTTATTCATGGCTTTGTCTGGCTCAGTGAATCTGCGTTTTTAACATAAGATGACACTAACAAAAGGGACAGAGGAAAAAATGCAGGAAATCTGCATTTTACATAACATACCTGGTGGCCCAGATACTGCTCTTTTTTAGCTGTGGTTTCAGCCAATTGGTTAACCTGACTTCTTGTGTTGTCGAATGTTGAGTTACATGGGATTTTTTAAATTGCCAAATGTTTTGGTTTTAGAATAGCTTCTAACAGCTCTGATACTTGTCCATTTTTCTGTGGGTTGCCCTGAGGAAGTTAAATATCCTCTCTTTTTCCATAGCATCCCAAAGTCATGAGCAACCCCAAAAGCATAGTGGCTGTCAGTGCAAATGTTGGCAGCCTTGTCTTTTGTCACTTGACAAGCTCGAGTCAACCTTAAACAAAGGCAATCACTTCAGCCATTGAGCTGATCTGGCTTGGGGAAGAGGACTAGCTTCAGTTACCCCTAGTAACGTAACCACAGCATGTCCTGCTAGAAAATTTCCATCTTCTCTTAAATAAGACCCACCTGTATACCATTCTTTCTCAGCATTATCCAGTGGCATCTCTTGTAGGTCTGGCCCCGTGGTGAGAAGTTGGTTAGCCATCAGAACACAGTCATGAGGGGTCTTGTTGGAAGGGCCCAGCAAGAGAGTGGCTGGACTAAGATTATTACAGCAGGAAATAGTAATAGTGGGAGATGATAACAGCAAAATTGCATAAGAGGCTAACTGGTTGACAGATAATATGGTATTGAGTACGGTAAGAATTCAGAAGGGTCTCAATAGAATGTGGCACAAAAGTGGTAAGGGGGAAACCCATAATTATTTCTTCAACAGACTTGTACAGAAGGGCCATGACTGTTATTACTCTCATACAAGGAGGCAGCCCTTGAGCTACAGGGTCCAGCTCTTGACTGTAATAGCCTATAGGTCTCCGATGTTCACCATATTTCTGGGTCAGTACCCTGGACGCAGTACCTCCAGTATCATGTACAAAAAGGGAGAAAGGCAACTTGTAGTTTGGGCGCTCTAAGGCTGGGGCATTAGTTATCATTTCCTTTATTTGTTATACAGCTGACTGTCTCTCTGGAGTCCACACGACGGAATCAGGCTGTTGATTTTTTAGGGATGCATATAGAGGCTGAGCCATAGGGGAGAAATTTGGTATCCAGTTTGCACAATAGCCTGCCAGCCCCCCAAATTCTCTAAGTTGTTTCTTGGTGATGGGCATTGGGAAAGCTAAAGTTTTTCTCCTCTGTCAGGGCTAATACTCAGTCTTGAACTGAGATAATATGGCCCAAATACTTAACTTGCAGGAAGCACAGCTGTTTGCCTTTGGAGACTTTGTGTTCCTTGCTGGCTGAGTAAATGTAGACTATTTTCCTGGGAGAAAGACAGTGTGTGTGAACAAAGGAGAAGATCATCCACGTGCTGAATGAGTATTGAGGCCTGGGGAAAAATTAAATCCTCTAAATCAGCTTTTAGTTTTTAGGAAAAGTAAGTGGGACTTTCCGTATACCCTTGGGGCATTACAGTCCCCGTATGTTGCCATTCTTTCCAAGTAAAGGCAAACAAATACAGGCTGTCTGGATCTATAGGAATACTAAAAAAGGCACTGCAGAGATTCACAACTGAGAAATACTGGCCGATGGCAGGTAGCTGATAGACAGGTAGGTGGGTTGGGGACTACTGGGTGCCTGGGCATTACAATTTTGTTTATTGCCCTCAAGTCCTGCACAAATCTCCATCCTCTCCCGCCTGGTTTCTTTACAGGGAATATAATAATGAGCCCCTTTTTAGGCAATCTTGTATAATAAGGGCAATTCCTTTTATGGCTTCCTGTCGTAGAGGGTATTAAGGTTGGGTACAGGTTTCTTTGGGTTTATCTCTGCCTTTATTGGAGTGGCTGAGAATATTTTCCCTTTATCTGTATTTGATTGAGACCGTAAGTGGCAGGGAACATCCTTGAGCCAGCGCTCGTCTTCTGATGTTAACAGGAAGATTGGGGAAGCGAAAAGGAGTTTTACTGTTTCCTGCTCTTTATTCCGGTACTTTCTCTTCTCGCCTCATATTTGCTTCTGTGTCTCTGTTTCATTTTCTTGGCCACAAGATGATGTTTTAACATTACTAGCATTAAATTGTGGTACACTGTCAGGACATTTTGTAATTTGGTATTTTTGGTCTCCTGGCCCCAATTCTAAAAAAAGTTCACCTTTTGATGAAAAAGAGATATGGCATTCTGAATGTTGACAAGATCACAGCCCAAAAGACTGACAGGGGCCCCAGGGCATATAAGAGACATATGGGACCTACTGAGCGTGTCACACTTAGAGCCTGCGGCGAGGGAGCTGAACCCGATGAAATGGTAAGGCATAGGTTTGGACTTAAAACATGAGATCATCTTATTAGACACATCCACCATGTTAATTTTTTTCATTACTCTGAGGAATGGGGTTTCTAAATGAGGTAGGATTTATCAGAGATATAGTTGCATCTTTGTCAATTAAAGCAGTTGTAAGCTTATGGTTTATTATTATGTTAATGTCTCCCAATTTGTCATGGTGAGGTTTTAACAGCTCACAAGGAGTTTCCTTGAGGGCAAAATATGGGGATGTGTGTTGCTTTTCATCTTGTAGCTATCTTATTTAGGAGCCAAAAATGGGGAGGCAGGTTTGCATGACCCAGTTACCAGCTTGACTCTTTCCTTTGGCTAAATGAGTTTGGGGTCCCAAAATTGAATTTCCTTTCACAGACTCCTCAGTGTTTTTAGTGGAGGTAAGGGGAGGTGAATATGACAAGAGATGCTCTGATGGCAGATATTCTGTATGTAGATGGTCCTTCTTCCTCTTCTGTATGCAGATGGTCCTTCTTCCTCTTCTGTATGTAGATGGTCCTTCTCTCTCTTCTGCATGCAGATGGTCCTTCTTCCTCTTCTGTATGCAGATGGTCCTTCTTTCTCTTCTGCATGCAGATGGTCCTTCTTTCTCTTCTGCATGCAGATGGTCCTTCTTTCTCTTCTGTATGCAGATGGTTCTTCTTTCCTTTGAGTAGCATCATACATTAAGGGCCTTACCTTGTTTATCTGTCTCGACATTCCCAGTTATAGTTGTACCCAGAGGAAGACCAGGTGCTACCACTACTTCCTGGTCTGATGTGTTGGTAATATGGCATGGTATTGATTTGGGGCATGGAACTTGGTTTACTCTTCCTTGCTAATCTCATGGCAGTTCATCAACTGGCGGGTTGCCTCTGGAGGCTGTGGAAGCCTGGCTCCTGGTGGTTTCCTCAGCTTCCAGGTTTGTAAGCCAGAAAGCTCTAGCCCCATCAGCACTGCACCCATCTCTGTAGTTAGTTTCTACACACTTTCTTATACAACTCAAATTTCACTTTACTATGCAGTCCATTCCCTCTGTTTTGTGATTTTTAGGAAGTCGTCATACTTTATGATCTACAAAACTATTGTTTTCAAAGAAGTTATGTTACATATTTCTAACTTTCTTTTATCTTATTTCTAGAATTTAAGCCAGGAAGAAGTAGCATTCTGCCTTCTGGATTAAAACTGAAGATCAACCTACTTTCAACTTACTAAGAGAGGTATTAAGTGCCTTTCTGAGAGCTCTCAGTGGGCTCCCTAAGCATGTTCACTCTGCCTCCTTTAAGTCTTATATTTATGATCAAGATGAAAGGGTGAAAGGGAGGGATGTATCACTGCACAGAGGTTCTACCAGTGGATATATAAAGCTAGTAGTGTTTTCAGTGAGCTCTTTTCCTGGCAACTACTTTCCAAGTGCTTTCAGCATTCCACCTGGAAGCACAACATCAGTAATGCACAATTTCTTATGTTCACTCACAGAATGTTCAAGTGTGATTTGGTTACAACGTATTGCTCTATCCAGGACTCTTAACAAAACTGACTTCTTTCAAATGGACCTGGCAGTTGCTAAACTCCAAATCAACACTTTACCTTAAAGAAAAAGAGAAAAGGAGGGGAAGGATGGAGGGAGGGGAACAAGGAGAATACAAGAGAGAAAGAAAGAAAAAGGGGGAAACAAATGCTTGTAAACAAATTATACCAAATAAAGAGACGTAAAGTAATTTCTTAATAGAAGGAATGATATTCTAAGTAAGAATCAAAATGTTCAGGTATGTAAAAACTCCCTTCTTCCTTTCGGATCAGCTTTTCTCTCTTCTTTATATCCTCAGTACAGATTCTAGGTTAGGGGGCAGAGAGAGGTTAGCATTGTCTGGCTACAATTTGTTCTGTCTCTTTGTCTGAGTGATAGAATTTTAGAGCTTGTCCAAATGCTAAGAAAGGGTGCTGGTGCAAGTTAGGCTGAGAAGAAATGCCATCTAATAGATTTAGGAGAAATAATGTTGTAGACATCAAGAAGAGAGAAAGTTGGAAACCGGCAGTATGGGAAGGATAGCTGGGTCAGAAAGGAAAAACAGGAGAATACAGAAGAAATGGTAACAGAAGGGAAAAGAAGATGCTTCACTTATCACCATTCAACTCAGGGCAGCTCCATTTGTACAAGGTCATCCTCCGGCCATACCACATCACAAAAGAGTTATTCTTGAGGTCTGTGCAGCACTGTTAGAATCAGAGTCTCCAAAGATGAAGACTCTATGATGGCAGGTTTAAAAAACTTTTTCTAAAAGATTTAACAAAATAAAGGGGCATTAATTTTTTTGGTTCACATTACCTGCAAGTTAAAAGACAGCTTTCAGCTTCATTGAGATCTATCCTCATTCTACCTTCTCCTGTTTTTCACTTCTTTGTAAACTTGGTAAACTCTTCGTTAGTATTGTTCTTCAAGAGGTTCTCACCAATAGCTTCGAATGAATACCCCACCAGCTTCTACCTTGTAGCAGAATGTTCATGCTTACGTTTCAGCAGAAGTTCCTCAATAAAGTCTTGGACCTACTTAGGTCATATGTTATCCATGAGCTCAGCACTGGTCTTAGGGCTTATGTGTTCAAACTGGTCTCACCTAGTTCATGTGACTGTCCATAAGGCTCAGTATAGGCAGCCTATTCTCTGTACAGTAGCCAGAAAGATCACTTTGCTTGTGGCAAACACTGTTCAATTACAACCCTTCCCTGAGGCCTCTCTCATTTATATTTCTCATTTCACTTCGAGTAAAAGCCAAAATGCCAGTCTTAGCTCCAAGGCCGCAGTTGCCTATCAGATCGCATCTCAATCCATTCTCCTTCTCACTCGTGTGCTCCAGTCGCCCTGACTTCCTGAATGCTTTTTGAACTCTCAAGGCAGTTTTCAGCTTAGGGCCTTGTTATTTTCTCTTCCCCTGCTTGGAACAATCCTCCTCACACATATCCTCAGGGCTTATTCTTTGGCATGCTCCAAGTCTTAGTGATTTTTTTTTTTAACCAACTAATTTGAAATGGAAGCTTTCCCTGTGCACTTACTAACTCCTTTCTTTGCTTTAGCTTTCCCAGGGCACTTACTACAGTCTAACATATTGCATGTTTTATCCATGTATTCAGTTTCCTATGGGTGTCACTCCAACTCCCACTAAAATGTAAGATTTTCGAGAGTAAGCAAGCACTAGATCAGTAGGAAACACATTATTGCTATCCAGTAAACTATTTCTTGAGTTAATCAATCAATGGATGAGTGAAACAATACTGTTATTTGAGTGGGGAAGTTTGTATAAGGCTCAGCTAAATGGGAAATTGAGTGGGTCAGGCACCATGAACACTATACATGCTATTGCATGATTCTTCTGCCTACATCAGAAGATGTTTACAAGCCTATTTTAATTGATACCAATTGGAATCTCTCTTTTATTCATCATTATTCAAGAGAACCATGAACAAGCTGTTTATCTTTTGACTCATCATTATTCTTGATTTCCGACTTCTCACACTTGAAAGAAGACGTGATAATACATTTATTATAGGATTCTGGGACTATTAAGTGAACTTAGGCATGTAAAAGGAATTCATACAATAAAAGCACTAGAAATAATTATACTAACAACTATTGTATTTTTACATATTTAAAATATAGCCATAATTAGCCTACTCAAATCCAAGTGTAAAAGTAATATGATTTGCTTTTGTTTTGTTTTCTTTGCTTAGGGGATCATGGACATTGAAGCATATCTTGAAAGAATTGGCTATAAGAAGTCACTGAACAAATTGGACTTGGAAACATTAACTGACATTCTTCAGCACCAGATCCGAGCTGTTCCCTTTGAGAACCTTAACATCCATTGTGGGGAAGCCATGGACTTGGGTTTAGAGGCCATTTTTGATCAAATTGTGAGAAGAAATCGGGGTGGGTGGTGTCTCCAGGTCAATTATCTTTTGTACTGGGCTCTGACCACAATCGGTTTTAGAACCATGATGTTGGGAGGGTATGTTTATAGCACTCCAGCCAAAAAATACAGCACTGGCATGATTCACCTTCTCCTACAGGTGACCATTGATGGCAAGAACTACATTGTCGATGCTGGGTTTGGACGCTCATATCAGATATGGCAGCCTCTTGAGTTGATTTCTGGGAAGGATCAACCTCAGGTGCCTTGCATCTTCCGTTTGACGGAAGAGAATGGATTCTGGTATCTAGACCAAATCAGAAGAGACCAGTACATTCCAAATGAAGAATTTCTTAATTCCGATCTCATAGAAAGCAGCAAATACCGAAAAATCTACTCCTTTACTCTTGAGCCTCGAACAATTGAAGATTTTGAGTCTATGAATACATACTTGCAGACATCTCCAGCCTCTGTATTTACTAGCAAATCATTTTGTTCCTTGCAGACCCCAGATGGGGTTCACTGTTTAGTGGGCTTCACCCTCACCTATAGGAGATTCAATTATAAGGACAATACAGATCTGATAGAGTTCAAGACTCTGAATGAGGAAGAGATAGAAAAAGCACTGAAAAATATATTTAATATTTCCTTGGAGGGAAAGCTTGTGCCCAAACATGGTGATAGATTTTTTACTATTTAGAATAAGGAGTAAAACAAACTTGTGTATTTATTACCTAGCTCACCAGTTATCAACCGATGACCCATCAGTTGGTAACTGATAAGGGTGCCTTCTGTATCCTTACATTATTTTAAAGAAACTCCTAGACATCAAATCATTTCACCATAAAAATTTCAGCATATGTAATTAAACAGCTTTTTAAAGAAACATAACCACAAACCTTTTGAAATAATAATAATAAAGGTATTTTAAAGATGGCCTTTGGTTATCCTGGCAATCAGTGATTTATGCTAGAAAGCTTTTAATGTTGGTTTATTGTTGAACTCCTAGAAAAGTTTTATTGGTAGATGAGTAAATAGAATATTGTGAAAAAACTTATTGTCTATAAAGTATATTAAAACACTGTTGGCTAATATAATTTGTATTACATTTTTGAAGACTTAGGATATTATGGGGCTATGTATGTCTTCCTCAATGCTGACTTCCTCTGATCTTCTTTCTAGTCTCTTAAATTACTTTACTTCCTTCCACACTTTGCCATAAGAGAACAAACATGAGCTTTTCTTTATATAGGTCTGAGCTGAAATCTTGTGGACACTGGGTAAATTACTTTTTAGATATGTGGCTCCAACTCCTCAGACATAAAATGGGAATAATGGTTTTATAGTTCAGTGCCAGAACTAAACTCCCAACAAATATTTGTTATATGGATCAATTAATGTCAGTAATGTTTTTGGTACTAGGTCATTATTTAGTAAAAGTTGTTCTATATTGCTTGCTCCCTGACCCCTGTCATCTGCCTGCCACTTTCTTGATTAAATACTGATAGGATATTAGATGCCTAAGATCTAAGAGTGTGTTTTGTGCCTCAGAATCAGAATCTTGGCTTATCCATAACTCAGATTTTCTGTTTGTGGATTCCAGCATCAGGACTAGAGTTTAATTTGCAGACTTGTTCTTACACGGTTCTCCCTCTTCAACTTACGATTATTGTAATAGGGTTAAGAGAACGGCATGGACTAGAAGGGTCCACTAGGGGTGCTCAGCTATCTTGGCAGAAGTCTTCACAGAAATTTTAAAAAATTCGAAAATTCACTTGAAACTATGAAATACCCCAAATAGTCAAAGTAATATTGAGAAAGTAGAACAAAGTGGTAGGCATCACACTTCCTTATTTCAAATTATATTACACAATTATACTAATCCAAACTGCATGGTACTGGAGTAAAAACAGACTCATACAGTAATGGAACAGAATAGAGAGCTCAGAAATAAACCCAAACATATATGGTCAGTTAATTTTTGACTTGCTTCTAAGAAGATACAATGAGGAAAGGACAGCTACTTAAACACATAGTGTTAGATAAATTGGATATCCAAAGGCAAAAGAATGAAAGTGGATCCTTATCTCACATAGATACACCAAAATGAACTCTCAATGGATAAAAGATCACACACAAAACCAGAAAATGTAAAACTCCTAGAAGAAAACTTATGAGAAAACCTTGATGTTGGCCAAGCAATAATTTTTTTTTTTTTTTTTTTTTTTTTTTTTTTTTTTTTTGGATAACACACCAAAAGCTCAGAAAACAAAAGCAAGAATAGATAAATGGCATCACTTCAAACTAAAAAGCACTTGCCCAGCAAAGAAAACAATCAACAAAATGGAAAGGCAGTGTGTAGACTGGAAGAAAATATTTGCAAACCATCCATTGGATAAGGGGTTAATATCCAAAGTAAAAGAGCAATTCATACAACTCAATAGCAAAAAAACCAAGTAACTGGATTAAAAAATGACCCACATAAACATTTTCCCAAAGAACACACAAAAATTCCTAACAACTCTATGAACAAATGCTCCACATCATTAGTCATCAGGGAAATATAAATGAAAACAGCAGTGAGCTAACCACTCACACCTGTTAAAATGACTATTTTAAAAAAGACAAGAAAGAACAAGTGCTCTTCATGATGTGGAGAAAAGGGAACTTTCATACAATGTTGGCAGGAATGTAAATTAATGCAGCCATTATAGGAAACAGTATGGAGGTTTTTCAAAGAATAAAAATAGAACTATCATATGATTCAACAATCTGTCTGCTGGTTATATACCCAAAGGAAATGAATTTAGCCCCTTGTACTGATATCTGTGCTCTGGTGTTTATTGTAGCATTATTCACAATAGCCCAGATATTAAGTCAACCTGTCAACTGACAGATTAGTGGACAACGGAATTGTGGTACATTTATACAGAATGGAATATTAGTCAGCCTTAAAAAAGAAGCAGATACTGCCATTTGCAACCACATGGATGAAACTTGAGGTCATTATACTAAAATAAGCCACAGAAAAGTATCACATGATTTCATAAGTGGACTCTAAAAAATAGTTAAATACACAGGAACAGAGTAAAATTTTGTTTAACAGGGGAAGGGAGGAGAGAAAAATCAAAAACATGTAGGTCAAAGGGTACAAGCCTGCAGTTATATAGGATGAGATCTACTGTATACTATGATAATTACAGCCAGGTGTGGTGGCTCACACCTGTAATCCCAGCTCTTTGGGAGGCTGAGGAAAGAGGATCACTTGAGGGCAGGAGTTCGAGACCAGTCTGGGCAAAAGAGTGAGACTCTATCTCTAAAATAAAATTAAAAAAAAATTAGTTGGGTGTAGTTTCTTGAAAGGCTGAGGCAAGAGAATTTCTTGAGCCCATGAGTTTGAGGCTGCAGTGAGCCATGATGGTGTCACTGCACTTCCCGCCTGGGTGACAGAGTGAGACCTTGTCTTGAAAAAATAAATAAAAATTGAAAACCAGATAATTACAGTTATTGTTGTACACTTAAAATTTCCTAAGAGAGTGGATTTATAGGATGAGATTTAGCATTTCCTTAGTAATCATAAACATAGTAATCATTTCACTGTTTATGTTTATTGAAATGTGTTGTACACCTTAAGTATTTTAAATATATTTAAAAGTAAAATTTAAATAAAAGAATTAATGGGAAAGGGGAGCAATGCAACCTTCATACACTGCTGGTGAAAACTGTATAATCACTTTGGAAAACATCTTGGTAGAATCTACTAAAGCTGAATATCTGCCTCCCACTGGCATTTCTACTCTTGGATATATAATATGTGTCAACCAAGAGACACATACAAGAATATTCATAGCAGCACTATTCATAATTGATCCAGACTGCAAACAATCCACATGCCCATTAATAGCAGCATGGATAAATAAAATGTGTTATGTTTATTCACTAGAATATCATTTAGCAAAGAGACTGAATAAATTACAGTTGTGCACAACACAATGTTGCAAAAAAGAAGCTAGACACCAAACTGTACATTGCACTCAATTCCATTGATAGACAGGGGAAAACCATACAAATAATGATTGTACTGAGAATAGTGGCTACTTACTGGAAAGAGCCACAAAAACAATTTCTAGGGTATTGGTGATGTCCTGTTTTGATGTGAATTCTGATGACGTGTTCATTTTCTTAAAATGTATCAAGCTCTATACCTGTGACTTGAGTACTTTTGTGTATGTTATACTGGAACAAGAGATTCACTGAAAAATTAACTACCAGTGTCCACCATTCCATGAGATAATGGGGAATGGGGCTATTGGAAGAAATAGGAAGAGAAGTACCTATCCTTAGGAAAAGGGAAAGAGTGAACAATACGAATATCAAATAAAACAATTCTGAACTTATTTATTGGTCAGTAGGGAAATATTCCATTTACAAGCATTTTACAGTCAGAACCGAAATGTCTACAAGTTGAAAATGTGGTCACTTTAACAGTAATAATCAACATGTCTCAGCTCTTACTTCTACTCCCTAATATTCCTGGGCTTGCAAAGAACTCTAACAAGTATTTACAGGAATACCTAGGGGTATCTAATAAGCACTTTAAAAATATTACCAAGAATTTTCCCCACTCTTAGGCAGTGCTGCCTCTGGTTACCACTTTGTTCCTCAGCAATCCTGCAGTCTCAGGTAATCGCGCATTTATCTAAACCCCTTGTTGCCACTAACTCTTCTGGTTTTGTCGATGCACTGGAATTTTTTGAGGCCAAAACTTCATGGTGTTTTGTGAGAAGAGTATGTTTTCCATCTTTTCTGTCATTATATTTGGATAAACAGGAACCAAGACTACACTACCTTGCACCTACAGAACTAAACAATGACCAACTAAAGGATAAAAACAAAGGCGATTTATTCTGAATTTGTTATACCTAGACAGGGAAACACATTTCCCAAGTGATAAAGGTAGCACAGAGAAACTGCTGTGGCTTCTACTGAGATAGAAGCAAAAATGAACAAACAAGGAGAAACATAATTTGAAGAAAACAGGCATGAGCTTGATAGAAGAAAACTAAGACATGAAGTAATGGTTTTTGCAAGAACCTGACTATCAGGTTGGTGCCAAAGAAACTGGCAAAACTGCAATTAACTTTGGTACCAACCTAATACAAAATTAAATAGACCTACAATATAATGAAGAAACAACAGCACACCTATTATTTTTTCTAGGATCAGCTGCTCAAACAATATTTATAAAGAATATCTCTGTACTGAGTTTCACTGACAGATGAATATGTACTGAGTGCAAAACAAAGAGATGAAAACACCTAGGCTTTCTCAGAAACAAGGGTGATTTTTGTCATTTCTGTGCTTCGGTTTTTTTCACTGTAAAATGGAAATAATATGCATGGAAATAAAGAAACACTGCCCAAACTAGAACAGGCAGAGGCTCCTCATTCCTAGCTTGCAAGGGAGTCAGCCACAATCACTGCATTTTGTCAGAGCCCAAAGGCAGGCAGAAGAGTGGGAGAGGTTCTAATGGAAAGAGGGAAGGCATCGACGTGTCCTGCATGAAGCCCACTGGCATGGGAAATCTGCAGGTGGGCTAAGGAGAAACGGAGCATCCTGTGCAATTTGTTATGTTTGGCTTTCTCTGACTGGTCCAAAGTTGGAAGTGGGGACAAAAATTAGGGAGGCTGTCAGTAGTGAATCAAGTCCTGGCCATTTTGAGCCAATTGTTACAGAATATATTATTAGTTATTAGTTTGGCGTCCTGGATTGTCACTAGAGATGGCAATTTTGGTGTTCTGTAAGCCTGTTCCTAAGCCTGACTTAGAGCAGCCTAGCTTCCTGTTTTTATTTTTTTCTTTCCTAACTTGTAAAATTAGCTTGTTTGTATTTATTTTTAAAAAATTTTTGTTTTAAGTTCTGGGATACATGTGCAGAATGTGCAGGTTTATTACATAGATATATGTGTGCTATGGTGGTTTGCTGTACGCATCTACCTGTTACCTAGGTTTTAAGCCCCACATGCCATACATTATCCATTTGTCCT